AAAATGTGTGTTATCTAAACATCAAAAATATATGGTATGTTATACATTAGGACATAGTGTGTGTGTGTGTGTGCGTGCATATACACTATATGGACAAAAGTATTGGGACACACCTTTTAATTATTGAATTCAGGTGTTTCAATAAGACCCATTGATACAGGTGTATAAAATCATGTGCCTATAAATATAGTCTGCATTTACAAACATTTGTGAAAAAAATTGTTGTTTTGAAGAGTACAGTGAATTCAAGGATGGCGTTGTGATAGAATGCCACCTTTGCAGTTAAGTCTTTACATTAAGTCAGTTCGTGATATGTCATCTCTGCTAGATATTACACTGTCAATGTAAGTGATATTATTGGAAAGTGGAAGTATTAAGGAACAACAGCAACTCAGCCACAAAGCGGAAGACCACGTAAAGTTACAGAGCGGGGTCACAAAGTGCTAAAGCGCATGATGCATAAAAGTCACCAACACTCTGCTGATTCCATAGCTGAAGAGTTCCAAACTTCAAACTAATATAAGCCCAAATCTGTGCGGTGGGAGCTTTATCCAAGAGGTTTCATGACCAAGCAGCTACATGCAAGCCTCACATAACCAAGTACAATGCCAAGTGGCAGATCAAGCATGCCACCACTGGATAATGAAAATGTTCTGTGGATTGATAAATTATGCTTCTCTCTTTGGCAGCCTGATGAGTGAGTTTGCGGATGCCAGTTGTCCATTACCTGCCTGACTGCATTGTGCCAACTATAAAGTTTGGTGCAGGATAATAGTATGTGTCTTTTTTCAGGGGTTGGGCTAGCATCCAGTAAAGGGGAATTTTTTTTTTAAAGTTCATTTTTTATTATAATTTTGCAAGTTTGACAACTATTAAACACTATTAAACATTTTAATTCAACATCATTTTTCATGTCACAACAAACTGGATCAATATATCAAAATTATCTTTTTATCTTTAAAATAAACCACCTTTTCCATTAGACCTTGATATTGGATCTGGGTTTCAATCTCTGTTATAGAGGGGGATATATTCTGTTTCCATTTTCTGGCAATACAGAGTTTGACAGCCATCAAAACATGTATAGTCAAATACTGAGAATATTTATCCATTTTTTAGGAAGTCTAGATGGAATAAAAATCTTTCTGGAGATAGAATAATATTTAATTTTAAATCAATAAAGAGTTTAGATACTTCTAATGTAAGAGTATCCAATCCAATACAATCCCACCAAACATGTTTGAATGAGCCACATTCATTATTGCATCACCAATAGAGATTTGAGGAGTTTGTTTGGAAATACATGTTCTCACAGGGACTAAATACCATCTATGGATAAGTTTGAAGTATGTTTCTTGTATATGTGTACAATGGACCTTTTTCCTTAATGCTTCAAATGAGTTTAACCAGTCTTGACAGGAAAAAGATTTATTTAATTAAATTTCCCATCTAGAAATGGTGTTATATTTTACTTCCTGGTTTAATACCTCCAAAGATCTTCTAACTACTGAGGATTTAGTTTTAGCCTCTCCAAAGAGAATCTTATCAAAGGGCAAGTCTTTAATTATAGTTATCTTGTGGAGGAAATTTTTTATTCTTAGTTAGGTGAAGTGCTCTTTATTCGAAAGTCCATAAGTCCATAAGGCTATCCTAACTATAAAATAAGGCTAGGGACTAATGAAAGTATTTAGAAAATTGGGCAGACTAGATGGGCAGAATGGTTCTTATCTGTTGTCACATTCTATGTTACAATTTTTTCCTGAAGGCATGAAAAACTACTAATCCCAGAGATATCATATAAATCCTGAATTCTTACCATGTCTCTAACAAGCCATCCAGATAGATTAAGGCCTTGAATAAAAAACATCAGGATTTCCAAAGGGGCATTTGAAGAGATTTGGTTTTGGGGGAAGAAGTATTTCTTTATTGGTTTTATAGGCGGAAAAGTGTGAGAGATAGATTATCGATAAGCAAGTTTTTAAAAAGTGTTTTTATCAACTCAAAAAAGATCGAAAGGGTCAAAAGTATCACATAGGCTCTTTTCATATATATATATGTATATATATATATATATATATATATATACATATATATATATATATATATCATTACCATGCTTTCAACTTTGATTTATTGTTTCCCCATTCTAAATAGTGTTAAAACATTACCGTATCATGAATATAGAATATGTTCGGAAAAGATAAACCTTCTTCTGCTAATCTGGCTGACATAATTCTAAGGGCAATCCTAGATTTTTTGTTACCCCAAATAAAGGATACAAATAAACCATGAAACAATTGAAGTATCTTCTTTGGGACTCTAAGAGGAATAGTACAGAATAGGTATTCCAGTCTTGGAAGTAAATATGCTTTAATGGTATTTATTCTTGCAAGCCAAGATATTTTATAGTTTAGACCATTTTGAGATCGTATTTCTAAATTCTTTAAGGAGTGTGTTGATATTATCGGTGGTCCACTCTTCGATATTAAAATTGATATTTATTCCCAAATAACATAGAGAGTTGGACCAGTTAAGTTTAAGATTATTGTTCAGAATTCTTATCAGTGAACTTGAAAGATTACTATGTAAAACTTGTGTTTTTTGCATATAAATTTTACAGTTAGAGAATCTACTATATTCTTCTATACACTGTAGTGTTGATGGTATGGAGGATTAAGGGGTTTGTTAAAGTCAAAATGTTGTCAGTTATTTTTTGTTCTTGATAACCTAAACTCACCCCAGTTATATTATGATTTTGTCTTATATACGCTGCCAGTGGCTCAATAGAAAGAATATAAAGAAGAGGTGCAAATGGGCATCCCTGGCGGGTTCCATTGTTAATAGTAAACCCAGCAGAGTCCAAACTGTTGCCATATATTTTTGCAATAGGAGAAGAGTATCAAGACATTGTTAAATCATTAAAAGATCGTTTTTTTGACATAGGCTTTCCTACTCTATTATTACTACTGTACCATCTTTGATTCAGGGATGTGATTGAGTTTTTAATTTTATTTTCCAGAATTACTTTTATTTGATATTGGAGGGTTTTAATTGGTGTAGCTGTAAGGGAGTTTGGATTTACTTTGTTACTGTGTTCAAGTTTGGACAATTGTATATAAAGGTCTGCTAAATTCGCACCTCTGGTTTCCCTGATTTTGCTCCCATTTGAATTAAATCCCCCCTCATAACACATTTAAAAATTAGCCATAAAGTTTAATTAGAAACTTGTCCATTATCATTAATTTTAACAAATTCTTTTGCCATATTTTTGAGATGCTTATTTTTGAGATGCTTAAAACTACAAGGGAGTTTAAACCAAGAGGGTAAATATTGATTTGCTCACTTGTGTTTTTCATAACTGGGTATGAGTGCTAGCAAGATTGCGAGTTTTACTCAGTGCACATCATGCTGCATGTATGCATGCCTGGGTGAATCTGTACAGGGTCCATACCTCTGTGATGGGTGTGAGCGAGTGGCTTTTCTGGAAGCTCAGATTAGAAATCTGGAGAGGCAAATTGTAACACTGAGAGAGATTGACAATCGAGAGGAGTCTGCTTCTCACTGAGCAGAGTTTAGTGGGGACAGGTAATGGAGAGGGAGGAGATAAGACAGATGGGGAACAGGCATGTAGCTGGGTGACAGTGGGGTGAGGAAGCAGGGGGGAGGGAAGAGGAAAGGTTTAGCTAGTCCTGATCTCATACAGCCTAACAGATTTGCCTGCATGAGTGAAGATGCTGGGAGCATCAGCTCAGGAGTAGCTGTACTGCAGGAAGCTATTCCTTCTAACAGCCATGGGAACAGCCCCTCTAGTACAGGTGGGGTTGAGAGGGAACAGAAGGCTAGACAGGTTGTGGTGGTAGGGGACTCTATTATTAAGAAAGTAGACAGGGTAATCTGCCACTCTGATCATCTTAACAGGACAGTTTGCTGTCTCCCGGGTGCTTGGGTTCAGCATGTTGCTGACAGAGTGGAGGGATTATTGGGAGGGGCTGGAGATGACCCAGCTGACATGGTCCATATTGGTACCAATGACAAAGTCAGAGGAAAATGGAAGGTCCTAAAGAATGAGTTCAGGGGTCTAGGAAGTAAGCTAAAGAAAAGGACCTCCAAGGTAATATTTTCAGAAATATTACCTTTGCCGCACGCTACAGCAGAAAGGCAGCGGGAGATTAGAGAAGTCAATGCGTGGCTGAAGTCAATGCGTGGCTGAAGTCAAAGAGGGTTTGGGGTTTTTAGAGCACTGGGTACAACCTGTATAGTCCTGATGGATTGCACCTGAAAGGAAGAGGGTCTGCTGTGCTGGGGAATAGGATGGCTAGAAGGTTGGAGGAGATTTTAAACTATTAGTAGAGGGGGAGTGTCAAAGCAATCTAGAAAATGGAGATAGGATAGAAATGACATGGGCTTTATCTCAGTGTAAGGGTGGTGGAGATGAGGGGATGGGAAAGCTCAGAAGAGAGATGTAATATTGATGAAAATTCACCAAAAGTACAAATGACTCATGACTAGAATTGAGCGGACACCTGGATGTTCGGGTCCAGCAGGTTCAGCCAAACTTTGAAAAAAAGTCCAGGTTTGGGCTTGAACTTGACCCCGAACCCAAACTTTTAGCCACAAAAAATGCCTCTAAAAAACTCCTGGAAAGGGCTAGAGAGCTGCAAAAGGAAGTAAAATGAGGGTAAGAGTAGGACAAGTGCCCTGCAAACAAATGTGGATAGGGAAATCACTTAAAATAACATAAAATACCTAAAAATTAAAAATGCAGCTGAGCCATAAAATACCACTAGATGGAATCTTTGATTTTAGCTTTGGAAGAACATAAATCAAAATCTAAAGCATGGCTGTCAAGAGGATCACCAGAATTATCCATTTGAGAAAGGGTTGGAGTGCAGGGTATTCTCTTTCATAGTTCAAACTAAGTAAACCATAGGTTGAGGAGGCGGTGACCGTGGCGGTGTAGGTGGAAGCAGTGGTGGAGGAGGAGGATGAGGTAGCCAACACAGTTTTTTATGTTTTTTTTTTATTGTGGTAGCCCACAAAATATTGGGACATATAAAAAAAAGACAACTCTGTTCCGCAGAGTAGCTGTTGACATTATAGTTGTTCAGGCACTTTGTTGACTCTAGAGAACCTCAGGCCAATCGTACATCTCCGTGATGGCGACTTTGCATTCGGATGTCATTCATATCAACTTTCGATGCCAGTTTCTGCGCCTTCCATGGTGACCACAATTAACGGGGAATCAGGATTCCATTCCGTACAGGGACCCTGAGAAACAGCTACCACATGCAAGGAAGGCAGCAGGCGCGCAATGATCCACTCCCGACGCGGGAAGGTAGTGGCGACAAATAACAATACAGGACTCTTTAGAGGCCCTGTAATTGCAATGAGTCCACTTGAAATCCTTTAACTCTGATCAATTGGAGGGAAGTCTGCTGCAGAGCCACTGACCCGTGTGTGCTGCAGCTGAAACTCCACTATCGCCTGCTGCTGCTCGCACAGTCTCATGAGGCGGTGAGCAGGAAGGCCGAAGTTACACTGCAGCGCAGAGAGGTGAGCAGCAGCAGGGTGAGAATGCCAAAAGCGCGCACAGCCGCTACAGTGAATGTCACATCCTGTTCCAAGTTGCGGATCAGTCTGGTGATGGCTTCTGGTATATAGTACTCTTTTTACTGAAGCTGCTTCAGGGTCCTGGTATGTGGCCACACAAACACTAGTGCTCAACACCAGGGGGCGTGCGGTTACCCTGCACCAGACCCTGCAAATCCATTCCACAATGTGACTCCTAACTTCAACATCAGGCATACTGGGTCCCGGTCGTCCGACCGCCACCCAGACAGTGTCTGGGTTCTGGTCACCGGACTGCCCACCTGACTGTGAAACTATGAATGGATTGTTAAATCTGGTATGAACCCAAACTTTGCAGTTCGTGTTCGCTCAAGTCTATTATGGATCCTTTGATCGCTACATGTATTACATGGATAACTGGTAATTCTCGAGCTAATACATGCCGACGAGCGCTAGGGGACGGCAGCTCCGCTTTTGCACCCTGCTCCCTCTTATGCTGTGCTGGTGCCTCTGCGCGACCAGCACCTCTTCCTCCAAACTGCACACGTCACTCGTCTGACCTTGATTCCATGTGGGGTCTAGGACCTCATCATCCTCCACATCATCTTCCACCCACTCCTCAACCCTGCCCTCCTTGCCCGTATACACACTGCAGAAAGCCACAGCAGTTGGCACCTGTGTTTTTCCAGCATGTAAAGTCTACAAAGGACATATGGAAATTGTTTTAGAATTGTATCCAGGCAACAGTTTTCCCTATAAACTGACCTCTCAGTTTGACTTGTGAGGATATTGCCCCAGAATTACAATATTGTTCAAGTACCTCTTACCTATTGATAACTGGTTTAAATATAGCAGCTTGTTATCTGGTAGTTTCTAGTGTTTTCTATCACTAAGATCTGTGTAACAAGTGTTGTAGGCGTGAAACAATATTACAAGTGACCGATGTAGTAAATTTGAATCAAAGTTACGCTTCGATTTGACTCTCAGATATGAAGTAAACACCCCAAATCTATGATTTAGCACCCAAAAAAATTGTCTTTTTAAAACTCCAATGTAAGCAGCAGATTAGCAGCAAAACAATTAGAATGTTTACAACTGCGCTGTAAGCACACTATTAGACGCTTCTATTTGACTGTCAGATATGAAGAGCACACCCAAAATGTACTATTTAGCAGTTAAGTAGCAAAACAATTAGAATGTTTACAATTGCGCTGTAACCGCAGTATTTGACACTTCTATTTGACTCCCAGATATGAAGTGAACACTCCAAATATATTATTTAGCACCAAAAAAATTTGACTTTTTAAAACTCCAATGTAAGCAGCAGGCTAGCAGCAAAACAATTAGAATGTTTTCAACTGCGCAGTAAGAGCACTATTTGACGCTTCTATTTGACTCTCAGATATGAAGAGCAGGCCCCAAAATGTACTATTTAGCAGAGTAGCACCCAGAAAATTAGAATTTTTACAATTGCGCTGTAAGCACACTATTAGATGCTTCTATTTTACTCTCAGATATGAAGAGCAGGCCACAAAATGAACTATTTAGCAGATTAGCAGCAAAACAATTAGAATGTTTACAACTGCGCAGAAAGCACACTATTTGAGGCTTCTATTTGACTCTCAGATATGAAGTGCACTGCAGGCCGCAAATGTACTATTTAGCAAATTAGCTCAAAACAGAATTTTTACAACTGCGCTGTAAGCACACTATTAGACGCTTCTATTTGACTCTCAGATATGAAGTGAACACCCCAAATATACTATTTAGCACCAAAAAAAAATTTACTTTTTAAAACTCCAATGTAAGCAGCAGATTAGCAGCAAAACAATTAGAATAGAGAATAAAATAAGTGGAGCGTAAAATGGCAGAGAAAACTGCCTATAGATTTTATATAAAAGAAAAATGTTTAAAATGTATACCTATAGTATGTAGTAGATTCTCAATAGCTTGCAAAGAGAAAATAGAAAAATAATTGTGCAGTATATCCAAATATGGAAAAAGGTAAACAATTTAATAACAGTAAAAATACATAAGAAATGGTTAACTACTGCTTACAGTGTATAAGTTGGTGAGATTTATGCGGGCAGAGAGGCGTTTTATGTCAAATATCAGGACAGTTAGATGAAATCCCAGAAGTCCTACTAGATGAAACGATAAAATGAATCTGGAGGGGGTTCTGGCTCTGTTCGTGTCCCTCAGCTGTGGTCCCAAGAGAGCCGATAAGCCGGGGAAGACTTTTGTCCGGTCGCGGGATTTTCTGGTGCCGCCCACCTTAGTGACGTCAATGCGTGCTTACGTGGACGCGTTTCGCCTTCCGGCTTCCTCAGTACGTAAGTAGTATAGTCTCGACTAGCAGTAGGGGGAAAGTTTTAAAACTGCAATGTGACAGCAGTATTTGATGATTCTATTTGACTCTCAGATATGAAGTGCACCCCACTAATGTACTATCCCACTAATGTACTATTTAGCACCAAAAAAAAATGTACCTTTTGAAACTCAGATGTAACCATGGTATTTGAAGCTTCTATTTGACTCTCTGATATGAAGTGAACCCCACTAATGTACTAGTTTGCAGAATTCTTTCCTAAGCTGTCCCTCACAGTGGCAGCATCCTCTCCCTACACTAATAAGAATCCATGTGCATACGGTGCTGCGCCTCTCCAACTTATATATAGAGGCTGGGTCACATGCTGCACTGGCCAATCACATCCTACTTTGGTAGGCATGGCTGTGATGGCTTCTAAGGGCACACGAGTCAAACGCTTGTTGATTGGCTGCCCTGCAGCCTGTGAAAACGCACCATTAAATCGCTGAGCACCGAACTCCAACCTGAACATACAGTGATATGTCCGTTTTCGGGTCCGGGGTCCAAAAAACCTAATGTTCGGTACGAACCCGAGCTTTATAGTTCGCTCAACTCTACTTATGACAATATTAAATGTATGCTTACTAATGCATGGAGCCTATATAACAAAATGGGGGAACTAGAGGCAATAGCATACACTAAACAATATGATATAATAGGCATTAATGAAACTTAGTGGGATGAGGCACATGACTGCGCATTTAACTTAAATGGGTACACGTTATTTAGGAAGGATAGCAAAAAACAAGAAAGGTGGTGGGATGTGTTTTTAATGTCAACAATGAGTTAAAGTCAAATCTTAGGCATGTGGAGGCTGACAAGGAAAATGTGGATGCTTTATGGGTAGATATCTGCTTGGGGCAAACAAAGGGAAATCAATTATTGATTGGGATATGTTATAAACCACCCAATGTAAATATTAATGAGGAAGAACAGCTGTTAGAGCAAATTGGGAAAGCTGTAAATTGGGGTAACATGTTAATTATTGAAGATTTTAATTACCCGGACATAAATTGGGATAGAGTGACTAGTACTTAAGCAAGGGGAATCAGGTTTTTGAATGTGTTAAATGACACCTTTATAATAACTCAAAGAACAAGGAATGCACACCAACTGATACAATAGTATCTATCTATACATATATATTTATTGCAATACAAGTGTAAAAAATACATACAATATACAATAGTGACCACATAGGCTAAACAACTAAACAGGTATATTTACCAAATTCCACAAACCTATCTGTGCAGAAACACGAGTCAAAAACAATCCCCCAATGTTTTGGCTCCTCCTGGTAGCCTTTATCAAGGATATACCCTTGATAAAGGCTACCAGGAGGAGCCGAAACGTTGTGGGGATTGTTTTCGGCTACTCCTGGTATACCCTTGATAAAGGCTACCAGGAGGAGCCGAAATGTTGGGGGATTGTTTTTGACTCATGTTTCTGCCCAGATAGGTTTGTGGAATTTGGTAAATATACCTGTTTAGTTGTTTAGCCTATGTGGTCACTATTGTATATTGTATGTATTTTTTACACTTGTATTGCAATAAATATATATGTATAGATAGATACTATTGTATCAGTTGGTGTGCATTCCTTGTTCTTTAAGTTATTATTATATTGGTATTTGAGGGAGTACTGTTTTGGAGTAGCACCCTTAACTATAGTGGTGGTTATATTAAGTGTCTCTCCACACGGTATATTTTAAATGACACCTTTATGTCACAACAGGTACAAGCACCAACTAGAAAGGATGCTTGTCTGGATCTTGTTATAGCAAACAATGTTGACCTTTTGACCAACATTTAAGTAGGGGAGCATTTGGGAAATAGTGATCACAATAAGGACATTTTTAACATAAACTCAAAAAAGCAAAAGCACGTGGGGTATACTAAAACGTATCATTTAAAAAAAAAAAGTTCAATAAGATTAGGGCAGCTCTACAACATATCTACTGGCATAAACTCCTTAGTCAAAAAAACACTGAGGATAAATGGAAACCATTCAAACAAATATTAGAAATGTGCATTTCTCAGTATGTACCATTGGGTAATAAATATAAAATAAACAAATTGAAACCAATGTGACTTAGTAGAGAAGTAAAACAAGAGATTAAAAATAAGAAAAGGGCAGTTAAAGCATTTAAATCGGACAAATCAGAGGCATCCTATATAAGATATAAGGAATCCAATAATGCTTGCAAAAAGGCAATTAAAGGGGCTAAACTAGAAAATGAGAAATTGATAGCCAAGGAATGCAAAGCCAACCTCAAAATTTTTTTCAAGTACATCAATTCTAAAAAAACAAACAATTAAAGTGTAGGTACACTAGAAACAGAGATGGGTCTGTTAGTTAATGAAGACCAAGAAAAGGCAGAAATTTTAAATAACTATTTTTCTTCA